TTTCTATAATTGTGTTAAAAAATCATTTCTTTTGAAAGGATCAATCATTCATACGAAACTGAAGATGCACCTTTGTGAAAACGGCATAAAAAATCATAATGGAGTTAAGATGCTTTTGTTAGAAATTTAGACGACAAGAGCGTAGAAGCATGAGCAAGACGGTAAATGAAATTTCATTTCTCTAGTAAAACGACCAAATAACTTAAAAAAAATATTTGATAAGTAAGCTATATTGTAAACTATAATGTGGACAATAAAAAAAGAGCATATAACATCATTTAAGTAAAATAAAATTAAAATGATTAAACTATAATTGGGAACATTGCTGGCAATAATACAGTTAATTTTATGTTAAAATTGTTTGCTTTTTTTTTAGGAATGTATTCATTACTCAATTTTCTTTAAATAAGCTTTGTGTGAATGCGTTGTTAATAAATACTAATTTGCATGTAATTTGTACATTTCACTTATAACTCATGTATGAACAAAGACGGCTAATAATCCAAAGAAATATTTGATAGGTTTAAATGTGTGTTAATTAATTAAATTATTATTACAGAAGCGCTTAGTATTGTACTTTATTTCTCGATGTTGGACTACTGTTATACTAACGTGAACTATTGTTAATTTTTGCAATGTGAAGCAAAGGAATATAATTTATTTAAGGTATATTTAATTAATATTCTAGCCAGGTAATCAATAACACGCATGAAGAATGATAGAAACAGTGCACAGAAATAATGGACGAAAGAGCAGAATATGATAAAAGTTCGATGCTATTATTTATTGTAATATTTAAGAAAATGTTAGTTTTACAGATATTGAAATCATTGTATTAATGTGAAAGATTATTATGAAATTGTACAAATGCTGGCTACCGTTTAACAAAATTTTGTAAAACAATTCTAATAACTAAAAAGTTATAGAACCATTTCTTACTATTTTTAATATGAATTATTTTATAAATTGTATGTTAGGAATGTAGTGGCGTATATTTTACATCTATTGTTTAGCTAGTCAGGAATATTTTGAGAAACAAGTTAAATATTTACTTTTCAAACCGTCTATGAATAAGATAAGCGTTATACAAAGATAAAGAAGGAGTGTTAAAGAGCGCAAAGAAGTTTCAAAGCTGCCACATAGCCTTAAGTGATAATTTATAACTAAATCATGTAAAAGTAAAAAGTCTTGGAATTTGTAGCAACATCGTGTAATTGTTTAGCAAATTAAAATGATGAATATTGAAGAAATTGATGTTATGTAAAATATTGTAAATAAAGTATCTAAACATTGAAATGAAATACATGGTTTTAATTTCTTGGTTATTTTAGAAATAGACTTAAATTACCTTTTTTTATTTAGTTAGTAAAAGGCTTTTACTTTTTTATCTACACAATCAAACATTAAGCATTCTTAAATACGTATACGGCAATAATTCCAACGCTCCACTATCAGAGGGACATAACTAACTGGCGAAATATCAACGTCTCTCATAAGTTCACACCAAGGCTTCCATTCAAATAAATACAACATCTGATCTGAGCCTGACTCTTCCCCGCGTCTAATTGTGAGACATGGGTTTCCTATTTAGATAGCCTTAATGACAAGTCCATTATACAGGGTGTCCCGTAAGGAGTGTGGATGGAGAAACAAGCAACAGACATCGAAAGATGTAAGAATCTGCAGATTTATTACAGTTTTACGCCGAAAGTCGTGATAGTGCGATTTTCACAATCTTTAACCGTTTGTAGCTCATAGCAATATTAATCGATTTCGATGAAATTTTCAGCGTGTGTATAATTGACATAGATCTACAAAACGTATTTTTTAGATTTTCATTACGAGCTCAAATAAAAAAATTGTAAAAACGACTTTCGCTATTTTCTTCGCGATTCCGACTAATTTTAGTTTTTTCAAAAATTTATACAAACGTCGGAAAGACGACAAAAATACATTCCTCTAAGCCTTATAAAAATAGCAGTGCAAAGTCAAATTTTTTTGACAGCGATCGATAACCGAAAAGTCACGCATACGCTTGTTCACGATAGCGCGTGGGCGAATCTCTGTTCGCCCGTCCCTGAGCGCGGGCTCTACGCGCGCTCTGATTGGCCAGTGTTTTTCGTTAATAATTCAAAAACGAAGCTTCAACCAACATTTTACTAAAGGAAAAAGTTGTTCAGAGTCACCCCAGCAACCCTCCATTTCCAGCTGTTACACTCTTTACGGGCCACCCTGTATATGTGAAAGTCATATAGACAGAAAGAAAGACATATTTCTTTCTCTTTAGTCCACTTCCTTTTCCGCTTTCCTCTCTCAATCTCTTCCCTCCATCCCTAACCAAACTTCTACAATGAATATATCAAAACTCGATAAGTTCAATTTTAACATAAGAATCATTTATTTATAATTACCTTAAAATAATATTGAATTAGATGAATATATATCAAGAAGTATCCTTTTTAAATGAAAACGTTAATTTATTGATGATTCTTCTTCTTTCCAAAACAAACTAAAGCCCATTCTTTCAGAACGTAAGTACATACCTATTTTCCTTCTATATATATTTTTTTCCGTTATATATTCTGTATTCCTGTTTTAGACATAATACTGCTTTTAATACTATTTTATGTCCACAATGAATGGGTACAATTTATTGTTTCTACTGTATCTACTTATGTAGCATCGCTAATGCAAGTGGGTACTTATCTGTTTTTAAAGCAATCAAAATTAATAATATGATCAATTTCATTTTTCGAAGTCCGTGACTTTCAACAGTAAATAATGATTACAATTACCAAATTACATTTGTTAGATGAAGAAGATTTACATACAGCGACCACTGTTCTAAAACATTACTAATGCAAAGAAATTTATCATAACTATCGTTCTATCGTAAAAAGAGTACAAGTTCCTAGTAAAGGCAAGTTTTTCTTCAACTGAATTCATTGCAATTAAAAAGTTGGTAAATTGAGGCTTCTCTCTGTAGTTTAAAGTCTAAGCGAAATGAAAAATGAGCAATATATGGTTGTTTTGGATGAAAAGATAAGAAACTGACAACTAAGTTATTTGGAATGTTCAATTTTAAACATAATATTAAGACGATTGTCTATAATCGATAAAGTTTGCTCATTTTAAGTCACAAAGAAACACCGTGGTCACTGATGAAGTGGAACGAAAGAAATGACAGTGATCGGTAACCCCTTTTCCTTCGGCAGATTGGCAAGATCAAAAGAAAACTTGTCTGTTAGAAGAAAAAACATGGGTGGACAATGACACGTGCATCACAATAGGGCTCGTTAACGGTCTCACATGTTTTCCTTGTTTTTCTCTTTCTTCAAACGCAGATTCACCCTTCTGCAGTAAATAAGAATTCTTTCCAATACCACGTACCCGATAATTAATCACCATTAATTACTCGTGTGGAGTCACACTGCGTCCGATATTCTGGATAAATGGGGCAAAATTTGTGATACATCTAAAAGAGCACTAATGGTTTGCATAAAAATAAATTAAAATCTATTTTATTCATACGGATTTAAAAGTGTTGCGCGTGTCTTTTAGATATATCCGTTTGAAATAAGTGGTTATTATATGTGGATAATAAAGTTAGCTATTTAAAATAAGCAGTGATACGTAACTGGAAAGAGAGGTTAAATATTAATGTTAAAGCGAATAATTAATAATTTAATCGTTGCATATCAGTTATTTGTTACACATATAACCTAAATGAAAATTCTGAATTATACATTCCGATGAAGAATTAGTTGTATTATATGAAAATATTTGTTTATTAGACGATAGCTAATTTAAAATGTGAGATATTCGTAGGTACATTCTTTATGGAAAAAGAAATTACTAGTGTAGGTACCTACTGCTCATTTTACACAAAAATAATAAATAATAGAGAGATAAGTTACCGAAAAACTCGGAAAGTCAACTTTCCTGAAAACGAAGATGCATATAAAATAAGTTTATTCCATAACTCTTACTTATCTTTATATGAAGAGTAGGTATGTAAATACCTAAATACCTATATTTATTCTACTTTATATTAAATGTGGCAAGGTAAAGTGTAGGTACCTACTATTTTAATTATATATAAATGTGAAATTTTTTTTAGAATTTCTTAGAATTTGTTTCGATCATTATGTTTAAATTCGTCATAAAAAATTCTCTATTTATTAAACTATCACATTTTATGATAAAACGTATGTTTTCATTGTAAATACTTACCTTTATAATCAATATTGTTTCTATTTATGGTTACAATCTTATTTGTCGCTGCTTTTTAGAATTAATATTCGCAATAAATGATAGACAAACGAACGGTGACTATTTTTCAAAAACTTTAAATAAGTAACTACTTATACATTGAAATTAAGTGATTTCCGTGTAATCGAATTAGCGGCGAAAATGAAAAGTTACAAAGAAGTACAGCC